GAGAGAGAGAGAGAGAGAGAGAGAGAGTGTGTGTGTGTGTGTGTGTGTGTGTGTGTGTGTGTGTGAGAGAGAGAGAGAGAGAGAGAGACGGAGACAGAGAGAAGCGACGATCGGTAGAGAAGACCGACTTCGTTCGCTTGAGACGGCGGCATCGTTGTAAGAGGCGGCGGTACCGTTGTTGATAAAACAACAAGCGACTTTCGGCGACTTTCGGCGTCGATTGATGGCGGCGACTGAAACAGTCGAAACGTTAAGCAAGCGATAGGCATTTTTCCGAGATGCGAAACGTTTTTCCGAAATGCGAAGCGTACGAGCGACGAGAGAGTCAGTCTGGATCGGCTTAGCGAAGAGAGCGGGTCGATCTTAGCGAGCGAGAATCCGAGAGCGTAACGCGCGAGTATAGAGTGCGTGGAGAGTATCGTTATATTCTTGAATCTTCTAGAACCCGTTGGTTCATGTACTATACATAATAAACTTGTATACAACCTTATATCCCTACATATACGAAAACGTTGCTCTGACAGAAAAGTCGAAAGTCTATTCGTTAAGGCCACGCGAGTAGCCAATCAACTTGCAACTTTTCTGTGAGAGCAGAATTTTCGCATACGTTTTGTAAGAGTAGAAATGGAACAGACACGGGCATCATAGCGGGACCGATCCCAATGAGCGCAGGAAGCGACCCCGCCGGATGTCAGTAGCGCGCGAGCGTTCCCGAACGATCGAGAACATTCGCGAATCATTTAGGAAAGTCGGAGAGGGAGAGATCCCGGCGAAGAAGCGGGACTCTCCATCGAGACGGCACCATACGTAAGCACGTGTTGCCGAGGGTCGCTCAGTCGTTAGTATAGACAGGTAAGGTTTCAGTGAATAAAACCAGTATTTACGCAAATCAGAATAATCATTATCGGACCATCAACCTACCCCTTTCAGTTTCTCCTTCGAATAAATTCAAAGATCGAGCCCGAGATATTTCCCGCGATTCGTATATGAGAATCGGCGCGAGTTTTCAAAGCGCGAGTTTCTCTCGAGCTTTGAAAACTCGCGCCGATCTTTGAGTCTCGACGCTTCCGGGACGACGGAGATATTCGTCCCCGATTCTGCTCAAGTCGCGTCGTTCTAAATCGCCATCGTCGCAGATCACAAGTCATTCTCGTCCGCACCTCGGGCAATCGCGCTGCGCACGTGATCGAGCGCACGACACGTCGAACGGGTGGGTGACATGCCCGTACCGTTACACGAGGCTATCTCTGTCTTTCCCTCTCGCTTTTTTGACCGCCACGCATTTGACAGATGACTGAAAAGACCAGGCTGGAGATCAACGTCAGGCGACTTCTGACGCGCTGCGAGCTGATAGCGAAGGATGATCCGCACAACTGGAAGCTGGAGAAGGTGCGCGAGACGCCGTTCCTAACCTCCGCGTTTTCCCCCGCGTCGCAGCTTTCCATTTGACACGCGTCGAAGCTTGAAGTTTTGTTAAGCGGAATCATTTTTTTTTTATTTTTACGTTAATTGCTTGAAGCGTAATATCGAGATCACGTCAAATATAATTACAGAATTATATTATTTATTTACGTGTTTATTACGAAGTGTTTGTTTACGTGCGTACACCTGTGTGAAATTTTACTTTTGCAACTGCATTTCTTGAGAGAACCACGTGGGAATTAAGCACTCTGCTCGTTGCAGAGTATCAGTCATCATTCATAAGCATTTTGCGAACCTTTGACCGTTCGATACATATTGTTTTTCAACGTTGTAAAGTCCAGGGCGCTCTGTCATCATTTAAGATTCTATCCGATTGTTATTACAATCACAGTATCAAATACGTTCGTGTTGCAGGAGTTGCTAAATACGCCAATTATTTCTATATAATTTTTATACGTAGTTGATGTAAGAGTTTTGATTGTACAAACACTTAACGTGTAAATTTCTTGTTTCAGTACATACATTCTCTAGACGACATGATGAACATGCTGCAAGCTCTGCCAAGGTGATATTTTCATTTATGCGACGTAACATGTATTATTTGTGCTATAGAGAGCGTCCCAGATTTCGCACGGCAACAATTGACAGTGAAGTTTTCATTTTATGATAAAAAAATCTACAAACCAAACCGTTAAGATTAATAGCTTTTAAGTGAGAAACGTTTAAAGTCGATTAAATTATTGATTCAAATTTGTTCATTACGGCATGACAAAAGTATCAGTCGTCATTCATAAACACTTTGCGAACCTTTGACCGTTGAATATGTATCGCTTTTCAACATTGTGAAGTCCAGGACGCTCTGTACACGCACCGGCATAAATGCTGTCCCTATCCTTGTGAGGTGCACGCACACAACTACAGGGACTCTAGTTGTGTGCGTGCACCTCACAAGGATAGGGACAGCATTTATGCCGGTGCGTGTACATCATTTAAGATTATGTCAAATTGTTATCACAGTATCAAGGTGATATTTTCAGTTATGCGACGTAACACGTATTATTTATGTTGTAGAGAGCGTCCCAGATTTTACGTGGCAACAATTGACAGTGAAGTTTTCATTTTATGATAAAAATCTACAAACCAACCAGTCAAGATTAATAGTTTTTAAGTGAGAAACGTTTAAAGTCGATTAAATTATTGATTCAAATTTGTTCATTACGGCACGACAAAAGTATCAGTCGTCATTCTTAAACACTTTGCGAACCTCTGACCGTTCGTATTGTTTTTCAACATTGCTAAGTCCAGGACGCTCTGTACATGATTTAAGATTATGTCCAATTGCTCTTACGATCACAGTATCAAAAACACTCGTGTTAAAATGTTGGATTTTCCATTACAGCAAACCAACCAAGGATACTATAACAGGCTACGCTAAACGGATAGAGTTTCTAAAGGGAGTAATAAACGCGATGAAGCTGTCGAACCCGGTGGAGAGGGTGGTCGCCGCGCAATTGTTGTCGAAGAACTCGGTGTCTACCAATAATTCCAGTACAAGCATCACGACGCAGATACACCAGAAGACGGTCGCCAAGTACAATCGGGAATTACGGGCGGAATTGTTCCACAGCAACAAAGGTGACTGCAACGACGTCCCTCGATAGAACGACCGATCGGTCTTTACACGCAATATTAAATCTCATTATGTGTCACAGACGCGGGTAAGGACGGTGTGCGACAGAGATTGTCGAGCTCCAATATCCAGGACGACGATCTGGACGCTATCCTGAAGTACAATCGTAACATCCAGGAGAAGATCGCCGAGAATATGCTCTCCATGACCAGCACCATGAAGGAGCACGCCCTGGCGGCGAGCGCTATCATAAAGAAGGACGTCGGCATGCTGGAAATGTCCAACAAGCTGATCGACGTGAATGCTGTTAAATTGAAGAAGGAGTCCCTCAAGTTGGAAGAGCACACCAACTCAAAGGGGATGTGGTGGTTTTGGTTAATGATAGTCTTCGTTCTGGCTGTATTTTTCGGTGAGTATCTCGCGCGTCAATTACACAAACGCTCTCCGGAGCGGCGGCGATTTCTTTATTTATCGTTTAACACGAATTTTTAACTTTCGCGCGATGTCACGCAGCTGTAAAAATGTCGGCAGCTAAGGCATTAATGTAAAAACTATCCCATTTTCCTTTTATCTTTTCCAGGCATGGTGTTATTTATAAAGATGACGACAAAAAGAATTAGATAATCTTTACGTCGGGGCGTGTCGACCGCACACACTGCCGCGGTGTGTGTAGCTGCGCGCTACTGTCAGTCCGCCTACGTGAGTCATTGGATTGGTGTTATGATGATAGAATAACACAGCCATGAGTGTGCTTGTGAAACCACCTGTGCCACCTAAAACCACTTGGAAACCCGGTAAATATACCACGAAATCGCGCCGTGGCGTCGGGCGTGGACAATGCGTAACTCGTGGTCCGGTTAGGCAATTTGTTAACGTTATCTGATTAATTATTGTATAATTCCTGTGGCACTCCTAGTTTCTATTGGGTGATTGTGATAAAGGACTTTTATACATATGTACTTATGGATCTCCGTGTATATGTACTGACCATGTATCGTACAGATCGCTCATTTATGTTATAGCAATTATATTCATGTCATTTTTCTTACGGATTCAATAAAATTCTACTATATACGAATTTAAGGTTATACCACACACCTCAGTCCGACGTCTCGATCTGTTCAAGGAGAATTCTATCGTGCCGATTGTACGTTTGAGAGGGAAAGAGAACCTAAAGAATTACAATTCCGCCGTGAAAAATTATTAACGGAGCATTAGTTCGCGTTTGTTTGGCTAATGAATGTAATTATCGCACGGTCTAGGTTAGAGCGGTAATCTTATCAAATGTATGCTTTGCGATAATTTTGCTCTTGTAATTAAATGCGAAAAAAAATTTCTACCTTTCAAACAAGATATCCGATATAAGTGTTGTTAACGCATGTGTTATCTTTAAGGTAAGGTAAGAGTCGTCAGGACGTTATGCAAATATACTGCGCAACGTGTAAGTACACTTGCCGGCGAAATAAGTTTCTGTATATGTAATTTTTTCATATAATTTTGACGCACGAACATTATAATGCGACGCTTTTTACAGGCGGATGAGTTGTCGTTCGACGAGGGTGATTTACTCTACGTTTATGACAGAGACACCGATCCAAATTGGTGGAGGGCCAAGTGCGGGGATCAAAAGGGACTCATACCGGTCACTTATGGTAACGAAGAATACAAATTTGTTTATCTCCAGTGTAATGCTCGTAATCTATTATTTATGTTCGCAATCTGTTGTTCCCAGTCGAGGAACAGACGCAGGAGATTGATCTGCCGCTGCACGACGCTGCGAGACGGGGCAACATTTCCTTCCTGAGGGAATACCTGAAGGAGGGTATATCGGGGACGGGTTTGGATGCAGCTGGAAACACGCCGCTGTACTGGGCGGCACGCACCGGCCACCTGGAATGCGCGAAGGAGCTTCTCACTTTGCCGAATCCCGTGGTAAACGCTCAAGTAAGAGAATGAACATATGTTGGAGAACTGGACTCGCGTTCTTATTTAATACTAGGCGTAGCTATATGATTTTACACTCGCTGTGACACTGCAACATTTTAATTTCTTACAAAGTAAGCAATACTTGGAATGAAATAGTCACATTAAGTGTTAAGTATAAGTACACACACGCTTCTACCATATCGCCGTTAATGTCTTCGCTTGTACTCGTTTGACAAAGTTATTTCCGAGGGGGGAAACCGCTGATCAAAATCTTGTACGCCAATGCCCACTAATGCCCAGTGGGCATTACTTTATCGTATTATCTTATTTTATTTTTATAATGCCCCGGCAAAGCCTAATGCCCAAACTATTGCCCAAAAAATGCCTAGTAATGCCCAGTAATGCCGCAAATCTGTACACCACAATGACCTCAGCGGTTTTCTCCTCGCTTATTTCTTAATTTTGTTGCAATTATTCAGCTTCTAATCGACCATGACTGGCGACGTGTTTTAAACACAGAAAATTTATTGTTGCGAGAAATATTACCCCAGCCAGGATTTGAACCTGGACCTCCCTACACTCTCTAGGCGGACGTCTCGCCAATTCGATCACCGAGGCATATGATAATATTTGTCGCAAAAATTTATTGCGACAAATAGTGTAGGAAGGTCCCAGGTTCAAGCCCTGGCCGAGGTAATATTTTTCGCAATAAATTTTCTGCGTTTAAAACACATCGCCAGTTATGGCCGATTAGAAGCTTAATCATTGTTAGTCATGTACTGGCGTAAAATAATTCTTGAAGTTAATCTTCTTGCTTTCGATCGTAGAACAAGATGGGCGACACGCCACTGCACGTGGCAGCGAATCATGGACATTTGGAGATGATAAATTTGTTGTTGGAGCATGATGCCGATACGACATTGAAGAACAATGACGGTGCCACCGCGGAAGAATTAGCCTCCGACGCGTCTATCAGATCTACGTTGCAACTGCACGGTCAATATGAAATCCCACATGGATACGACGACGATGATTATAAAGATAGCGATAGCGACTAAGAATTTCAAAGCCTGCAATGGGAATAAAGTAAGAATTCCATATTATGTGTGTAAACAAAACAAGCAATTCACATACTATATGTACTAGAATTTTATGTATTAATAAGTAAAAGTAACTCTACAGTCGTAAAGGCTTCCGGAAGGTTGCCGCGTCCATTTTCAGTGTGGTCAGGCTTCGCAAACATTGCAGCTTGCATCATCAGGGCTGGGAGACTCTGAAACGTCGGCACCACACAAACACGGCAAACGGACGCGGCAACCATCCGGAAGCCATTACGACTGAAGAAGTCAGCAGCCGCGAAAGCTTGAAAGCCAATAACTTTACATATTAATCCTTTGCGGTCAAAATTATTTCTCGCAAATCAGAAGTAAAACTCAAGAATTTCCATGTCCTCTGATCAGCGGCTGATATGAATAAAAGAATAATTTTCTTACTTTAGGAAATTGATGGAAATGTAATTCTTGCAAATTATAATTATAGATTCGAATGCTCGAAGAATTACGGGAAAGATCATTGCAACGCATAGTGTCGTTAAATTTGAATGTAGGATCACAAAGGGTTAAATAATAATGTTAATATTTGAAAGATCTCAAACGATGCTCGCCTCTTTATATGTAATCGTAAGACTCTTGTTTCCCACAGGATGTGAGTAGCAGCGTAAACGAAATTTAATTTACTTTCGATAATACAAGAAAGAAATTCACATTACATCGCACTGTCATAAGTCGATAGTTTACGTCCGACGATAAAAAAACAAGAGTCTTCAGAACTGTTATTTCGTATTTGTGATATGTTATAGATAGAGCGTATTGTTACAATATCAGATAATAGATTAAGATCCTTAATTAAAAAAAAGGACCAATAATTGTATTATCACAAAACATGTATAACATGTACAACGTACCAACTCTTTATCATACTGCCATTAGCATTATTCAACAAAATATTCGTAAAGAGTATTACAATGAAATTAAATGAAAACTTTATATTAGTGATTAGTATATTGTATGAAAAGTAAATTTGAGTATTCGACTTCAAATACATAACGTAATCTGTGCAAAAAAGAGCAACACAGAGTGTTCCTTTAAATTAGTTAAAGCTCTCATTTTTCAATTTTTCGCGCATACTTTAGCCTCAGAGAAAAATAATAGCGTTATTTAGCCTTCTATCGTGTATTCTTGACTGAACATTATTGAGTTCTAATAAAACAATCTTTAAAGAAGACATAATATTATGTTCTTTTTCAGCAGAACGTTGCAATAACATGTGTAATTCCTTGCGAGATTTTTTTACCTGCTTCAAACTTTCTTACTAAACCATCTGTTGAAATCTAATCTCAATAACAATCGAGCTAAGTGCTCTCCACTAGGTTGCGCACGTACTCTATTCAACGTCTTCGTCAACCAGTTCATTACGCTGTCAAGTGTCTCGCATAACGTCTCGAGTTCTTCTTTCTCCGTTAAGAGCAAATTACCGACCTCCCACATGGACGCTTGCAAGATGAAATCGTCGCACAGCCGCAACAAAAGATGAATCAACTTATTCACCTGTTAAAAATACACATAAGTACCAAGAAGCAACGACAGCGTCTCGGATTTGTGGAGCCATCTTTAAAATCTGTGTTTAAATTACGAAAGTGAAATTGATGCACGAAAGATGGCTCGCCAAATCGACGATACTCTGCATAGTTTCGAATTTTATCATATAACCTGATGAAACTTACGGGATTCTTTTTTCCCGTTCCATTGCCCAGTAGGAAGGTTTGCGACATGACGTTAGCCAGGAACACAGAATGGGCCTTTTGTATATCTTCAAAATTCCGCGTGTTTTTCATACTCGCTTCCATTACGGTATACTGACTTTCCATCACGTCTACTTGCAGGTAATACTGCAAGTTGTCGACGATAAAGACCAGATTATTTCTCAACTGGATCACGCCAATGTCGCTGTAAATTACACATATTGTGCTATAGTAATTCTGAACAACGAAAATGTTAATTATCTTATAGCATTCGTGAATATATGCATTATTTACATGTTCTTGTGATGCATGTGCTCGCTCCAGAGATTCCACAAGTCTATCTGGGTCTTTTTAACTCTCAACAGGAAGCGAAACAAAGTGTTGTAATCGTTCAACGCGGTTGGATTGAACAGCAGATGCAATGGCCAAACAACTTTGTACTTCAACGTGATCATGCCCCATCCGCGTTTCTCTAAGATAAAGATATTATTCAATATTCTTAA